TGATTTTCATTATCATGTTAATTTATTTATTAATTCATTAATTGGATTATTTTAGTCGTAAATGTTTTATGTATAATGTGTTTGTGATTATGTATTGCAGTAATTGTCGCAAAATAAATAAAATGATTTCTACGGCAACCGATGATAAGGTGGCGGAAAGGCTCTGGGAGTATAGCTGCGTGTTAGTGGACTTGGAGGCCGAGTATCGTATCTAATAACTTATAAAATTTCTATATTTTTAGATTTAATTTGCAAATTTATTACTTTTATCTTACTTATATTATGACATATTATGATTTGTAAATATTGCGAGCAATTTTTTTAACATTAAAAAATAATTTCTTATTTGATTTGAACAATTTATTATGTAAATTTTGTTTTGTTACTTAAAAGTTATGAACAATGAACCAAAATAAAATAAATTAAAGTTACCTAGTTGATGTCCATTTACCTAATATTCTTTAATTCATAACATTATAACAATATTCTTAAATTATACTGAATATTAAAATTAATAAGTTATATTGGTGAAGTAAAATTTATTATTTAAAAAAAATTAAATATCTCATTGGTTATACAGTATTCATATTTGATTTACTAAATATTTAAATCGCTTAACTAATAAGTATTAACAATTACTAAATTTGATATCATCGATGTCTACATCAGCATAAGGAGGGTCATTCTGATAGGTCACCCCATAACCACTCAATTGAACTCTTGAACCTTCAGCCAACTGTCCAATATTTGCCGTTAGAGTAGTCCATTCCTTATGGAGTTCGTGTTCAACCAGCACATCCCGGCCCCCGTTATCAGGCGATTGTACAATGACTTTGAAAGTTGCGATATAACTGGTCGGTACGTAACTCCTGTACCGCAGATTTAATACACAGTTTGGTTTAGTGGCCACTAATGGACTCGTTGTGAGCACTGCCGCTATGTTTGAGTCCTCTATCGCAACATATTTTTATTTAAATATATTTTTGAATGTAATAATTATTACATAAAATTATAAGTATATTATTAGCCATAGGATTCACTACACATTTTACTGTTTAGTTATTTAATAATTATCTCACAATTATTAATGAAAACTTACTCATATGGGTGTCAATGATAGCAAATTTGCCAGAAGTACGTCCTGACCCGTCAACTGATGGCAATACCCCTCCCATAGGTTTTCTAACCACCCATTCATAATCACCGGCACTGATGTCTGTCCACTGACACAGGTCTCCCGAATCAAAGTTACAGTCGTATCGAGTAATGGGAATTAAATTCTCAGAGTTATAAACCCCGAGAATTAATGAACTTATGTATACTAAAAGGGCTTTCATTCCTAAATATAATTAATTAATTAAACATATGTATGATTTATACCATTTATTATTTAGAGAGAGAGAGAGAGAGAGAGAGAGAGA